ACCGGGCCCGGTGCTCACCCTTCAGGGCCACACGGTTCCTGCGGATGGCCATGATGGCATTGCGGATGTCCTCTTCGTCGGCGCTGGAGCTCACGTGTACCTCTTCAAAGTCCACGGGCACACACGCATGCCTGTGGCGAAGCAGAGTCAGGGCAGCCAGCCCAGGTCTAGCCGCACCTCCTCCAGGAAGCCTGCCTGGACCACTGGGGACAAAGGCCTCTCCCCTGCTGTTGCCCACCCTGACCTGAGGTGGAGACGGGGCCCACCCACACCAGCTGATGGGCACAAACTCGAGCTCCACCACACACTGTTGGCAAGACCGGCGCCACCGTCCCCACGCGCCGGCCGCCCCGGGGGTGTGCAGGCACCAGACAAAAAGCTCCCCGGGTGCTCAGCGAAAACCCCAGCCTGCGGGCTCCATACCTGAACACAGACTTCACATGCAGCATGAGCTCCGGGCCGATGCCGTCCCCGGGGATCATGGTCACCGTGTGCCGTCCGCCATACTTAGCAGAGGGCGGCTGGAAGGGGGAGGGCGGAGGCGGCCTCAGGGCCCTTCATCCCCCCCGCAGCGACCCAGCGCGCTGGCCAGTCTCAGGTTGCCAGTTCAGGGCGCCTTGCACCCACCCCTGCCCCGCTCCCCCCCCCCCGGGCTGGGCTCCTTGGCCAGGAGAAGAGCTGCGGGAGCAGCCCCCACCCCGCCTGGACTTGGGGCACTACCAAGCAGCTAAGAGCCCCAACCCGAACAGGCAGAGAAGAAGAATACTCACAATTGTCTGTTGCTAGAGAGAGGACAGGAAGGAAGAAGACACGGTCAGCCAAGGTGGAGGAACAGGCTATGCCCGCCGCCTAGCACAGCGCAGGTAGGGAGGGCGACCTCTGCAGCCCGCATGTCAGAGGGAAGGCACAGAGGGCCAGGGAGCAAAGAGGCACACGCGCGAGCACATGCAGATACATGTGCACACCGCACGTGCGCTGCATGCGCACAGACATGCATGCCTCTGCATGCGACCACAGGCGCGGACACACATGCACGGACAGAGATACGCACGTGCACGCACACACCCGGGCAGGTACTTACTGAGAAGCTCCTCCGGGGGGGCTCATGGGCACCTCGAACCTGGCAGAGAGGACCGAAAGCCTGTGGTTGTCGTCTAGCCCAGAAAGAGGCCGCCCCCACTGTGCCGTGACAGGTCTCTACGTCATCCCACTCACCCCTGACCGTGTGCGCAGATGACAGCGCCGAGTGTACCCCAACAGTCCCGGAGCACCACTTCCCCAGGAGCAGCCAGCGCAGCACCACATCGCCACCCCGGGCCTCCTCTGGCTCGGTGCCAGGTATTACCAAGGACGTGGCCTCCCCACCTCTTGTCACGTCTGACTCTCGTGGTCAGGTCCTTGGGAAGCTAGAAGAGCCGGCACACGGGCCGCGGAACGACAGGAGCGCGGTGACAAGCCACAAGCCCGCGACAATGCTCATTTAACCTTTCCCTTGATGTCGCCCTCATGACAAAAGCAGCATGCGGTCACTAGAAAACTCCAGGATAGGGAGAACAGAGAGCGCACCAGCTCCCATCTGCTGGAACCCTGCCCTGCGGGCACGGAAAAGCACTGAGCCCACTCGCGCGGGCGGGGGGGGGCCATTGCCAGCACCGACTCCGCGCGTGGCTTTCGTAAAGGACCACAGAGCTGCTCCGAGGCCTATGTGCAAGACGAACATCCCCAGCCCCTACTCGGAAGTAGCTGTGTTTGGCCACATCGGTGCCATGACTGACAGTTTCAGAGCAAAAGTCACCTGAGCCAAATGGGACAGGTGCGGAGAAGTGACAAATCTGGAGCCCCCACACTGCCCTGGAGGGAGGCCAGGGTCATCCCATAGCAGAAGGGCAGGCTGCAGGCACGCGATCCTCCCTACTGCACCCCTGGGGAACACACCCAGCGTCCCTCCCTCCAGGCAGCAGAGGCAGAGCCAAAGTCCTCCCTGTCACTCGCCTACTGGGGCAGCAGCAGAACGCTCCAGCCGATGGCAGACTCACTGTGGCCATTTTCCAGAGTCGTGCCTTCCTGCTGGAAGTCCAGAAAGCTCAGACAGAGGCCGCCTGCTGCCGTCTGCCTCTCTCTGGCCCAGAGTCCCAAGGTGCCCATTTGCAGGCACTCTGGAAGCACTGTTGTACCACTCACCAGCCCAAGTCAGGGCGCAGGAGGGGGACTACCAGGATAGGCGGTGGGGGGCGGGTATAGCTGCTGAGATGTGCCAGAAGCAAAAAGCAGGACCTTTCTGCTTACTTTCTGATACTTGCTTTTCTGCTCTCCAACCTGGAGGCGCTCCAGAGTACAATGCCCTTCCTCTGGGTCCTTCCCTGCAGAGGCCACTGAGGTGTTGGTCCCCACCCCCAGGGGCCTACCTAAACCCCCAACCTTGGTCTCCCTAGTTTGTCATTGCCTTGCTCCCTCCCCAACCGAGACCTTGAGGCTATGGCTATCCAATCCCCTACTGTCACTCCAAGATGCACCAAAATGCCTGGCCCAGAACGAGGACACAAAGAACACTTGCTGGACGAACGAGCACATGAGATGCAGGAGGAAAGGGCGGTGGGCTTGGGGCCAGGGAGACCTTACTCCAAATCTACAGCCACGACTCCGGGTGGCTAACGGCTCCACCTTGCTGTGCTTCCTGTCCTCACCCTAAATCCACGGAACGGACACACCCACTTTGTTAACTGCTGGAAGGACTGAGCAAGAGGTGTGCAAGCTCTTCAGTCCCTAGCAGTGCAAGTGGACTCTGACAAGCACAGTCACCCTTCATCCCACAAGCCCCTTAGGCCAGCGTTCATGCTGCTGCGCAACGGGAGATGTGGGGTGACCCCTGTAGCTCCCAGGAGTGACCCCTCCTGGACCTCAGCCCTCTGAAGTACACTGGTCTGGGTCTAGTCCTGCATTTGTGCAAACCCATCACCTGACCGCCAGTGCTAAATCTCTCCGCCACTTGGTCCTTGGGCTGGATGTACTGTTGGCCTCTGGCTGAAGATCCAGAAAGCTCTCAGGATAGAGAATGTCCCTGACCTTGTTCTGGGGAGACTCCTTCAGAGACCATTACTAAAGATCCGCCTCACACCCTGACTTCCCTGCTGCCCTGAGGCCACTGAGGTATTGGTTCCCACCAGACAAAGGAGACGCATGAGGTGGGATGGGATACGCACAACCTGCTGCCTGCTCACTGGTCCAGCTGGAGGGTGCCTGTTCAGCCCTCGTCCTCTTATAGTGCCATACACGCACCCACCAGCCACACCTTACTGGGGCTTCTGTCTTCAACTCGTTTCTGTTGATTCACGTGCCAGCGGTGGCTGCACATTTTCCCACCAGGTCCCAACCCCAATTACTGGGACCGAAGGCGGTGGGGGGTGGGGGGGCTCGTCTCAAAGTTCCCATATCCAGAACAATAGGGCTCAGGGCAAGGCTAAGCCTGAGTCCCAACCATTCACCGCCCTGCACTCCTGTCCCAACATGGACACAAGCACACACAGTGGAGGACGGGCTGACAAATGTCTCCAGAAAGAGGCTGTGGGAGCCTTAGAGGCCAGAGCCATCAAGGCCTCTGGAAAAGCTCTTGCCAGCAAGGTGGGAGAAACAACATTTCAGAGAGAATTTCCTACAGCACAAGCAGTTCCAGGACAGCACTCCCCAGGGTTCAGCAGGGCGGGACATGGCAGGGGATGTACCCACAAAGAGTCTCGGCAAAGTCACTGAGTTCTGGAAGGTCAATGCTGACTGGATCCCTTGAGAACATGGAGCCCTCGCGCGGCTCCGGGCAGAGGGGAAACTGTAGCCCACAGAGAGAAGATGTCGGCTCTTAGGCCACCAGGGTGGGGCAGTGGGGGAGCCAGGCCTAGCGATCATCTCTTATGCCCCAGGCCAGGTTGGCTTGACCATGCTCACTCTTTAAGCCGGCAGGTGCTTGGTGAGCCCTCTTCCTCTGGTAGCGCCACAGAAAACGAGGCGCCCGGGACGGCACATGCACCCACCAGCCATATCTTGAACGGCTTCCGACCCACCCTACTCATCATAGTCAAAATTACCCTCAACTTAAGTGTGTAGAGAGAGGAATCGGACCAGAAAAACCAAGACCCTAGACTGAGAACTGGAAACAGAGGCCCGGCACCCCCCCGTCCCCCCACCCCCCCACCGGCCTCCGAAGCGCTGGGGCCCTCCAGTTCCAGGCGCCGCGGGGGGAGGCATCTGCGGCTGTCGGAATGTCGGGGCTACCGGCGGAGGCTACCTCCACCGAGACAGGTGGCAACGCGGAGCACCAGAGGAAAACCCCAGGAGAAAAGGCGGAGGGGCCCGAGCAGGGCGGGCGGCGACCCACAAGGACGCTAGGGAGGGGACGCTCGGCCCGCCGCGGCCTCCCCGTCCGAGCGGACGGTGCTCCCACACCCCAACAGCGGACCCGGCCGAGCCCCACCAGGGCCGACTCTGCGCGATCCTTTCACTGACAACCGAGGCGGCCAATGAGCCCCGGCGCGCGGGCCTCTCTCCGCCCCTGGCCGGCCCGCAGCCAATCGGACTCCAGGATGCTCGGGAGCGCCAGCCCGGCCCGAGGTGCAAGGATCTCCAGCAGGCCTGCGGCTGTCCCCCCCCCCCCGTCTCACCTCCCAAGGACGGCAGAGCAGGGCCGGCTTGAGCGCGGTCTTCGCAGCACCGGCAGCGGCCGTCGCCACCTTCAGCGCCATGACGGACAGTGAGAGCCGCCGTCCGCCCCGACACGCAGACGCCGCTCTCGCGAGAGCTCGGCGGGACGCGAAGTCCCAGGCAGACGCGGGGCCGGCCCTGCGCACGCGCGCGGCTGCGCCTGTTTCCCCGCCTCCTTCCGGCGCCGGGAGCGCCGCCGCCGCCATCTTGGGGGCAGGCCGCTGGGCCCCTGGAGCGGGGAGGGGACACGTCAGTGCCGCCCGCGACGTCACAGGCGCGCCCGGCCCTCCGGCGCCCGATTGGCTGCCGCGGCGGCCTACGCGTCCCGCTTCCTCGTCTGCCCCTCGTGTTTAGGGGCGCTCCCTCTCTTTTCCCTCGGCGGACGAGCGGCGATGGCGGCCCTGGCATCTCTCGGCGCCCTGGCGCTCCTCTTGCTGTCCGGCCTCTCCTGCTGCTCAGGTAGCGGCCTGACAGGAGCTCGTTTCCGGCGAGCCCTTCTCCCACGGCAGGCTGTGCGTGGGGGGAGGAGGGGTGCGGCGAAGCGGGGGTCTGGGCTTTCTTCCCAGGGGCACCCCACGCGCCTCCTACACACGTTTACCCAGCGGCTGAGAGACACCGCCCGACCCCCACCCCTCACCTCCGCCGCCGCCTGCTCCTGCGGAGGGAGAGTCCCAGCGCCTCCCCGGTCGCCCAGCCCCCAGCTCCGGCGCGGACGGTGACAGGCACGCCCCTGCTCCCGCTGCCGGCGCCACCGCCCCTGCAGGACCGGACCGGAGCAAAGCTCTGCACCGGAGGGCCGCGCGGCGAGGGCCGCGCTGGTGGGGAGGAGCCCCGTGAGCGGTGCTGGGGCCAGGGCGCCGCAGGAAGGGAGAGCCGAGTGATGACGGGGAGGACGGGCCGGCAGAGGGGCCCGGAGACCGGGCGAGGTAGCCAGGTGCTGAGGAGGAGGTCGAAGTGAACGGGGCCGTGAGTGCCAGGCCGGGCTCTTAACTTTTCCCCTCGTGGGTTCTTAAAGGCCTCTGGTGAGCTGAGCCACGATCACATGGGTTGACGTTCTGGAGTCTCTCCTCCTGGCGGTAGGGCTGCGCCTAGACTGGACTCCCAAAGTGTGCTCAGGAGGAGGCTGTGGCAGGAGCTAGCTCTGGCCTGGGGACTTGGCCCTGCCGGGCGCCTCAGGCAGCTTCACTTTGGCGGCCCTTCCCGACAGCGCTCTGCCAGGAGCCTTTCACCAACCCAACTGGTCGCCTGCCGCTGCCACCCCTCAGCGGTTCCCCACACTGTCCCCACTGATGTCCAAAAAGAACAAACTCGGCTGTAAAACTCTCCAGTGGCTGCAGGAGAAAGGCCAACCTTAGCAGGCATTGAAGAATCTGCGAGACGTGGCCCCCGACGGCCAGCCCCTGCCCTTGTTCCCAGGCATCTGCTGTGCAGACCCAAAGCCACCTCCACCCAGTTCGGCCTAAGGCCCAGCTCTGCCGGACATCGCCCGGAAAGCAGTGGGCAGAGAAGGCTCCCACTGCCAGCACTCGTGGGGCGCCCTTCTGTAGCCTCTGGCAGTGGGGAGATGGCTAAAGCAACAGCTTCCTTTCTCAAGGTAGCCCTGTTTAAGGGGCTCCAGAACCTCTGCCATCTGCTTCCCTTGGGAAGCACAGGGGCCAGCCAGGGCCTTCTGTCCGCTGTGGCAGGGCGGGAAGTCGCTCCACAGGGAAGCCTGTGAGTTATCCTTGCAACACTATGTCTGGTGTGTAGCATGTGCCTTCAGTAAACCGTCCGCGGACCTTTGGCTTCTGGGGTGCTGCAGGACAGGCTGCAGCCCCCAGCCATTGGGTGGCCTCCTTGCCTATAGGTACAGACCCCAAGTTGTACAGTGAAGCCATCCAGCTTCCCTCCCCCCACACTTGTCTTGAGCCCTTGCTCCCCAGCCGCCCTTCACGGTCTTTTCACCTCTGCCCTGCCCCTCTGACTGATTTCCATCTCTTCCCCCATGCCCACCTGGCAGGGTCCGTAGGGCCCGGTGTCCTGCTCACCAGGTTTGGCAGGTAGGGCTGGGGTCAGGGCCTCCCTCCTGCCGCCCAGCCCATCCCAAGCAGCCTTGCCCAGGAATCTCTGCCTCCTCCCCACAGCAGAGGCCTGCCTGGAACCCCAGATCACCCCTTCCTACTACACCACCGCTGACGCCGTCATCTCCACGGAGACTGTCTTCATTGTGGAGATCTCCCTGACGTGCAAGAACAGGGTTCAGGTGAGGCAGTGGGGGTTCAGCCAGGAGGGTGCCGGGCCAAGAGGGGCAGTAGACCTGGGAGCTCAGGCATCACCTCCTTGCTGGCAGTTGCCGGGTCGGAACCGGGGACCTGTGTGGACAGCGAGAGCAAGGGTTCCGTTCACAGGTGGCGGAGGCCCAGCCCCGGCAAGACCAGGCTAGCGGGTGTCTGAGGACACTCCTCGTCTCCACGGCCAGCTTTGCCTCCATGTGGCAGCAGAGGCAGACACCTTGCTGATCCCCAAATGAGGGTGCGCGGGAAGTGAAAAACAGCCAGGCTCCCGCACCCCTATTCTGGTTGCTCTCTGCCAAGGTGTGTGTCTGCACAGGCATTTGACAGTGTCAGCACTGAGCAGCCCTGGTCTCTGCCCCTAACTTTTACTTGTACCTCAAAGGCCCAGAGAAGAAAGTTGGTCTTTTAGGAGTACAGTAGTCCTTGGGTGGCTCTTGGGTGCCCCCTGGCCCCTATACCCCCTTCCCAGCCTTAGAAGTAACAATACTTGGGTCATCTGCCCCTGTTCAACCAACAGGTTGGCTGTGGGTTGGGGGGGCCAGGCCCTGGGGGTTGCGTGACCACCCCCCTAGGGGAGACAGTGCGGTGTGTGTGGGCTCCCCAGCTCAGTGCCAGCTTATCGGGTCTGGCCCCCTCCCCGTACGCAGATCCTGGGCAGGCCAGCAGGGTATCTGCCACTGGCCTAAGAGGCAAGATGATTCTCCCTTTGTTTCACCACCTAGAACATGGCTCTTTATGCTGACGTCAGTGGAAAGCAATTCCCTGTCACCCGGGGCCAGGATGTGGGGCGTTATCAGGTAAGTGCTGCCTCTTTTCCTTGTTTGGGGTAGGCCATCCCTCCTGGGTGTGATTGGAAGCCCTGTCCCCGTGGAGCAGAGTCAAGGTTCTTTTTGACCCAGGCAGCTGGTAGTGGTGCCATGTCAGTGCTGGTGGGGCACCCGGAAGTGTCCAGGCACCCATCCTGCAAACACCCTCCCCAGGTGTCTTGGAGCCTGGACCATAAGAACGCGCACGCGGGCACCTATGAGGTCAGGTTCTTCGATGAGGAGTCCTACAGCCTGCTGAGGAAGGTGAGTCTCATCTGGGCCCCGCCCAGCCCTGGTCATCTCCACCCAGGGCCTCCCTGGGCTCGGCCACTTTGCTGCTGCCGCGGAGCAGGCCATGCCAGCCTGTCTCACATCTCCGTGTTTCTTTGCTTGCTTCTCCCCCATAACTTGGACCTGGCCCCCTCCCCTCATCAGGGACCCACTGACCCCAGCACCTCCCTTGCAGGCTCAGAGGAATAACGAGGATATCTCCATCATCCCACCCCTGTTCACAGTCAGCGTGGACCATCGGGTGAGTGGGCTGCGGAGGCTGGTCCAGCTCGGACAGCGGGAAAGACCGCAAGCTTGGCCCTTGGGGTGGGGTCGGGGCTGGCTGGCTGGCTCACTCGCCGCCCTTTCCCTGATCTGATTTTGGTCTCTTCTTGCAGGGCACTTGGAACGGGCCCTGGGTCTCCACCGAGGTGCTGGCCGCAGCCATCGGCCTAGTAATCTACTACCTGGCGTTCAGTGCCAAGAGCCACATCCAGGCCTGAGGGCAGCACCCCCGACCTTGCTTCTTTCAATAAACAGTTACTGGCTCTCATGAGCACGTTCTGGACACGGCTTGCTGGCCTGACTGTGCCTGCCACGCCCGGGCTCCAACTGTGCCTTCTACTTCCTTCGTCCTCCTGGGTGGCACGGGCAGCGGCGGTTGGGCTGACTCCAGGCCAGTGCTTGCCTCCTCCTCCCCCACCCCAAACTGGAGTATGTTCTTCTCCACAGCACTTTCTCCCAGGCCCGCACTACCCACCTGTCTCCTGTTTGTTGGCACAGCTTGGGCAGGGCATGGAGTCACCCCTCCCCTACAAGGCACACTGGGCCGAGGTCGGCTGTGGCCTAAGCAAGGCAACCCTGTGGCCACCTGCCATTGGGAGGGTAACTGCCTGGAGGAGGCCGACGGCCCTTGCCAGCCTCCCTCAAACCCGGCAGTCAACAACCCATGTGGACAGAGCGGCGCCTGACCTTTGGAATGGCGCCCACGTCTGGGGCGTCACACAGCTACACTCGGAAGTCCTTTCCCTGCCCAGCACCAGGAGCACAGATCTTGTTGCTGGGCTTGAAGCCAGGAACCCAGGCAGCATTCTGAAGGTGGCCAGCCCCCCACCACCACATATTTCATCCTGTTTTGGGGTTGCCTTGGGACATGTGGAAGGAAGGCCCCCCAACCTCCTCTCTCCCAGCAACCCTTTTCCCCTTAGGAGCCTGCCCTGCTCCCAGCCCAGCTGCTCAATAGCTGGAGAGCTGCTGGGCGCCCCGACACCAGGGGGCTGCCAGAACCCGCATGAGCCCTCCCTAGCCCTGTAGCCTGAGTTTGCTTGGCTATCGGGGCTATCAGAAGGGGTCATTGGCACCAGCTGGCAAGGCCCCACACCCACCCTGCAGCTCATTGCAGCACAGAGCCACGGGCCGTCCAGAGGGCAGGCACCTCCAGAAAGCTGCTGCTAGGGTGGGGGTTCCCGGGGGCACTGGGAAGGGCAGGGGCTTGATGAGCAAGACTAGCATTTCCCTATAGGCCAGCGTAGGCCTCTGCCAATTGGCTTTTTGGGTTCCAGAGAAAGCTCAGCACGGGGAGCACCTACTGGGGTGAGCGCTGCACCCTTTTATTGGCTGAACAGGCTAGGCGGGGGGGGGCCAGCAGGGTTCGGGGCTATCACCCACCCGGTGGCTCCTGCGACCCTGCACCACCCACCCTGCCAGACTGGGCCCCAGGGCGCCTGTGGTCAGGGGCTGCCCGCTCTCGTCGCACCACCTCTCCAGCACCTGGGAAAGAGGAGCTGCCGCTGGCCTGGCAGCCTGTTCCGGCCCGCAGCCCAGGAGCAATGGCAGCCAGCACCCCATTGCAGCGAGAATCAGGTGCCCCTAGAGCCCCCAGAGAGTGCCCAGGGGCTGGAGAGGGGTGTCAGTCGTCCTTGTTCTCCAAGCACAGCCAGTTTTCTGCAGCAGGGGCCGGGTCCTTGGAGCCCTGCCCGTTTCCGTGGGGGCCCAGGAACGGAGGCGGGGCTGGTCAGGGAGGATGTGTCAGAGCCTCAGCCCCTCGGCTGCTGAGTCCCTTCCAGTCCTCCCCGGTGGCTTCCAGATCATGGCCACATGGCTCCGCAGCCCAATTCACGAGAGACCTGTATCGCCGTGTCAAGGGAATTTGAATGCCTTCTCACCCACTGCGGCCACTGGCACAACGGTCCTTGTCCAGAAGACTGAGCTTCACAACCTCACTGTCCCTCCAAGGGGTGCCACGCGCAACAGGGCACACCTGCAGCTCCAGCACGGCGCTTGCTCCAGGAGCCAGTGCTAATGGTTCGGCCGCATCCAATGGCACTCGGCTATCCTGACTTTTGGAGCTGGAAGGGCCTCTGCAGCACCCAATATTCACCTCTCTTCCCCTGGCACTGTGGAGGCACCCAAACGAGGAGAGGACTTGTGCCTTCCTAGGGCTTCCAGCTCACTGTCTCTGCTGGGCCCTTCCTGGCTGGGGGAGGGAGGCCTACTCCAGTCGCGCTCCTGGAACAGAGGCCTCCAGCAGAGCAGGGGCATCGGCTCCTTCACAAGCCAGTGGCAGGTGCGCTGCCAGTCCTGGGCCAGGCCTTGACTGCCCCTCCTCCACCCCCGGGACTCTCGCAGCCCTAGGGTGGCAGCCCTGAGGTGGCTCAGATGACTGTCCTGTGTCCACAGCGCACAGGACGCCACCATCACAAGACCCTGTTTCCAACTGTCCCTCGCCTCCCTCCTCCCTAGCCCGGCGCCCTTTCTGTCAGCACGAGAGCAAACCCGGAATGAACACAGGGAGCCGGCGGCAGTGGTAGAAAGGCAGCTTGCTTTATTCTCGCAATGCCGCGGAGCAGGTGGGCAGCCTGTTCACGCCCAGCTTGAGACTGGTGCAACCCCAGGGGGCTCGTGCTATCTGCCACGAAATGCCCAGGGCCCCAGGGTCTGCTGGTCCACACCAGCAAAAGTGGGGTGCAGGGCATCACCTCAGGCAGCCCAGCTAGCCTGGCTGGCCTCCCAGATACTCCCTCCGCTCCAAAGGAGGGGCTTCTGCTTCTGCTGTTACCCCTCGGGCCCGCCTTCCAGACCCTTCTTGGTCCCAGCACCCCCTTGGGCGCCCCAGAAGCCATCGCCCAGATGGCATCAGACAGAGACCCAGGCTGTCATTTCCTCCTGGGTGAACAATGCCCCCGCAGCCCCCACAGCTCAGCCCGTGGGTCACCAGGGAAGGAGGTGGCCCCCAGGTGAGCCTCGCAAGCCCCGCAGCGGCAACCCACCCCCACGCCGCTCTCCCTTCTTCCCCGCCCCTTCCCTCCCGGTCCCCCACCCTCCCACTTCCCCACCCCCACCCACCTCCTTCCCAGCCATCACTCGGGGACCCCACCGTCGTCAGGCTGCCCGAGAAGCTGCCAGCCCCCAAGCAGGTCCACACAACAGAAAAACAAGGATTGGCAAGCACAGAAAGGGGGGTAAATCATAAAACCCAGGGTGCCCTGGCCACAAGTAACGCAGGCTGGCAGGGAGAGACCGCAGCTGAAGGCAGCCAGTCTCCTGTGCTTGAGGCAGCCCGTCCTCCCTGCGCTCCTCTTTGGCTCCTCCAGCAACCCCTAGTCCCCGCGGGGAGCGCACACCAGAGGGGTGTGTGCGTGTGCATGTGTGAACGTGGGCTCACGTGGCACACGCGCACACACAACTCAAGGGTGTCCCCCGCGCCAGCCGCCGACACGGTCACTACTTCTCGTGGACTTCTCTGGCGCCAGAGTCCCGCGCACACACAGACACCCCAGATGTGAAGGGACAGGGAGGCCCAGGTGCCGGAAGGCCCCCGGCCGGGCGCCTCAGACGGTGGTGACGGAGAGCAGCGGGTTGTAGACCCGTTTGCCGTCGGCAGAGCGCGTGCCGTGGGCCAGCATCTCCTGGATGGTGATCCAGTTGTCCAGGATCTTCTTGTTCCGCTTCTTCATGGTCTTGCGGTGGCTCAGGGCGATGATGTTGAGCTCGGCCTTGCCGTCGGCGCTCTGCTGCTCGCGCAGGCACTCCAGCCGGCTCTGCATCATGAACTCACGCCGCTTCCGCTGCTCGCGGGCGCGGATCAGGTGCTGCTTGCGCTCCTCCTTGCTCCAGTAGCGCCCCATCTTCATCTCGCTCACCGCGTCGTCATCGGTGGTCATGCCGCTGCGCTCCTCCCGGATCTTCAGGGCCCGAGCTTTCAGGAGGCGATCACGCACCGGCCGCTTGGCCACGTAGCGGGTCCCGTCACTGCGCACCTTCACCTTCCACTCCATGCGGGGTGCCTCAGGGGCCGCAGCCACGGCGCCACCCACTCGGGGAGCACCGGCCAAACTCAAGGGGCTGTGGCCCAGCTCCTCCAGGCTGCGCGGCGGGGCCAGCTGCACACAGCTGTGGTACTGCTCGCTCTCCTGGCCCTGGCCTCGGTGGCGACGTGAGAGGTAAGGGCTGCCTTCGGGGCCCACGCGCTCCAGGGTCATCCCCGTCTTGGGACCACGGCGAACCCGCTCCTCTGAGTGCTGTCTCCGCCCCACCTCAGGATCCCGCGAGAGGGATCGGAACTTGGCGGGGCTACCTGGTGGAAGAGCTGTCTTGGGGTGGGTGGCGACAGGAGGGCCACAGGGGGCCCGGTTCAAGTTGGAGTTGCCAGTGGCGGCCCGCCTTAAGGGGCTCTCGGGCAGGGGTTCCGCCAGCAGCGGGGTGCTGCGGCAGCTCTCCCCAGTATTGTAGGCGCTGGTGCTGTCTTTGTCCGACTTCTCAGGCAGCTCGGAGATGTCGGACAGCTCGTGCTTCTTCGGCTCGCTGGCCCCCAGGTCATACAGGCTCTCCTCCTCCAGCAGCCAGGCCTTCATGCAGCGCTCCCGCAGCTGCTGCATCTTCTGCGCCCGCAGGATGTTGCGGCACTTGAACTCCAGGTGCCGCAGCTCCTCCTCCAGCATGGCCATCTCGTGGCCCAGGCTCTCGTTGCGGTTCACGTCCAGGGCGCTGTTGCCGCCAGAGGCCCGCGGGAAAAGGAGGCCCAGCGGGTTGCCGTTCTCCAGGTGGCACTTGATCTCCAGCAGCTCCCGGTAGCGCTCGTACTCCTCATCGGTGAGCCCGGGCACGTCGCCACCCCCCAGCCCCGCCCCCTCGGCCAGCAGAGAGTCCATGCTGAAATGGAAGTCGCGGCTCTGCAGGGCGTCCCCTTGCAGGCCAAACTTGCGCAGGGTCCCAGGCGTGTTGGTCGTGCTCGGGGGCTCATCCCCGAGCAGGTCATGCTCTGAGCTCTCCTCGTTACGCGTGCTCTCGTCGGTGCGGCCCACCCCACTGTCCAGCTCCTGGCTGTTGCTGAGGCCCGGGCCTGCACTGGGGGCCCCTTGCTCCTCTTCGTTTCCAGGCTAGGGCGCAAAGATGGGCCCCACTCAGTCTGGGGCCTGAGGGCAACCCAGGGGATCCGGGCCAAAAGCACTTGGAGATCTGGGCCATATCCCACACGCCCCACCTCCTCCCACCTGCCCCTCCTCCTGCCTCACCTGCTGGGCAGGCGGGGATTTCAGCTTCCGTGCACGCAGGTCCCCCTCGTTGTCAGGGCCGAAGTCGTCTAGGAAGTCATCCCGGTCACTGTCCTTCCACCGCTTCGCCAGCTGCAGACAGAACCGTGCCATCCCCACCACCTTAGCTGCCTGTCCCGACACTTCTGGGCCACCTCGAGTCCCCAGTCCGGTGGTCCCATGGTCTCGCTGGTGGTGAACAATAGAAGGCGCTCTCCCAGCCCGCCTGGCTGTCAGAGGCCAGAGGGTCAGGGGCCGAGGGACACCGCCTGCCCGTTCGTTCGGTGGGGGCGGCTGCTCGTCGGAATGTCTACGCCCTTGTCCCAGACCCACCAGTTCCAAGACAAAGAGCCCAAAGTCAGGGGGCCGGGCACACCCACCTGGCTCTCCGGCCGCGCCACCAGAAGGGAGATGTTGGTGTTCTCCTCCTGGCTCAGGATGGCCACCGCCTCTTCCCGGTTCTGCACGTCCACGCCATTAATCTGTGGCCGGCGGAGAGACAATCACTAAGGATGCCAGGGTGGGCCCTGGATCACCTGAAGGGGACGCTCAGGAGGGGCGGAAATCGGTGGACGGTGCCGGGAGGACAACCTGGCCTGGCAGGAGCACTTGTGTGCCGCAGGGCAGCACGGGGAGAGGCCACGCGGGGGGTGGAGGAAGAGGCTGTGTGGTGCCTAACCGGCGGCCCCACCTGGCCTCTGGCTCAGCAGGCAGGCGCCGGCTCACCTGGATGATGCGGTCCCCCTCGCGGATCCGGCCATCTTTGGCTGCAATGCTGTTGGGGTTCACCTGCAAGACACAGGCCGCGTGGGGCTCCGCACCCTCTGCAGAGGGCCCCTTATAGTAGGATGCCTCAGGGGCATCTAAAGCAAACCAGTGCCCAGTAGCCCCCAAACTCCAGCAGGCAGGGACATAAGAGTGGGCCCCGGGCGAGCCCACCTCTTCCCAGCAAGAGCGGCCCACTCGCCGACCCAAAGCTCCCCGCCCCCACTCCTGGCTCAGGCACAGGCTGCCACTTGCTCTTTGGCATGGAATCCTATTCTTTGTCATGGCAGAGGCCAGGAAACCGAGGAAGCTGGGTACTATCGCACACCCGGTCATACAGACATCAGCCCGGGCTGACGGGCAGTGGCGCGTCACAGGAAGTACACTTGATTGGGGGCTGCGGAGGTGTGTGCAGGGCGGGGACGGGAGTGACCCTGCTGGGGACCAGGAGGGCTGGCTGCGGGATGTGGGCGAGAACGAAGCCCGGCCTGCTGCCCCACCTGGCACAGGTGCTCCTGGAAAGATTACACTCTGGACCACGCTGAAGCTGTGGCTGCCCTAACCTTGCCCACAGGCAGCCTGCCTGTGACCTAAGTGGGGTGTGTCCCTGGCAGTTGAGTCCTTATACACAGCCTCAGAGCCCTGGGCAGTGGGGAGACAACATGGGGTGATGACCGCGGGGGCCTCTGCACCTGCCAGACCCTACCCCCAGCACCTGCCACCACACCACCCTGTGCCCTTCACCAGCACTGTCCAAATGGGCACCAGCAAAGCCAGGCTTTGATGCCTGAACACACAGGAAGGTAACAAGGAGCTCCACTGCTTCTAGAAGACTCCACCCAGTACTTTGCCCTCATACCTCTCCAACGTAGATGCCCAGGTCCTCCTCGTCGTCTGTGCGGTAGCACACCATGAGGCCCAGCTTGTCCCGGTGGCTGGTCTTGTACAACTCCACTTCCTGCCACAAGGGGTCCGGGGAGCAGAGGTAGAAAGCCCCAGAAACCAATGAACTAGTAAGCTCTGCAGGGGCAGCAGCCGCGGCCCAGCCCCCATGCCTGCCCCCACACATCACCTGAACTGTTTCCAGCCCCGACTGGAAGGCGTTCTCACTGTCCCAAACGGCTACCAGGAAATGCCCAGACACACACGGGGCACACAGGACACACGGGGCACACGGACAGACATGCATGGCACGCAGACTCACCAATACAGACTGACCGCGGGACCTCACCCGTGCCCGCTCGGCCCCGACTCAGCCTGACTTGGCCATGAGCCTGGGCAAGGGCCTCGCACCGGGAAGGGCCACAAGGCCTGGCCACCTGGGGCCGCAGACAGCTGTCCAGGGTGGGCGAGCGGTGGGCCCGGCCCGGCCCGGCCTGGCTGCCCGGCTCACCTCATACTCCAGCTCGTCCATACGGTCTGCCTCCTGTGGGCTGCCCTCCATGAACTCCGCCGGGTCATAATACTCATGGCTGATGGGGGGGCTGCCCAGGAGAAGGGGGGGTCAGGCGGACCATCTCCTCCTCTCATACCCCAGTCGCAGTCCCAGGCGCGCAGCATGGAGTCCTGCTCTGGGTGCACCCTCGGGGCGGGTGGCCTGGCTGCCCCTTCCAGAAGGCCAACTGCTGAGCTACATGCACCCATGCAGAGATCAGGAATGCTTCTTGAATGAGTGTCCGGGGGCTGCACTGAGGACCTTGGTACACCTAGCTCGCCCACCCCTGCTGCATCCCCTCTTCGGAGCCAACTCCTGGACCACGACAGCTGGCAGGCGCCCCTCCCGCCCAGCGCTGGCCCACTCATGCAACACCCCAGGAGTAAGCCAGGCCCCAGAACTGCGGGCAGGAGGACCCACTCTACCTCCAGGGGCCCTCCTTGCCCGAGGCTAGCTGGGCGGCTGGCAGAGGGCATCCCGGGCTTAGGCTAGCAGAATGAGTCAGCGCTCACAGCCGTGAGCCGCCGGGCTGGATGGGAGGCCCTTCTCCGAGTAGGCCAGGGAAAGAAGTGGAAAGATGGAGGAGTTCAGAGCAGGAAGAGGAATGGGACAGACAAGGGCGCAAGAAGGTTCAGAGGCTGATGCTGGAGAGGCAGAAGACGATGGGGCGGCAGAGGAGAGAGGATGGAGGAGGAGGAGGAGGAGGAGCTGAGGCCCTCAGCCTTCCAGAAGTGAGGAGGGGAGGTCCTCCCGCAGGCCTGGGGTAGAGACCCTGGGGAGCCTGTACACCAGCCTCCCCTGGGCCCCATCACCAGCTGGTGCCCAGCCTGAGGCTAGAGGCCCAGGGGTTGTAAGCCCTTGGGTGCCAGTCGGCTCTGGAGGCCAAGGAGCCTCCTTCTTGTCCAGATGGGGGTCTCCCTGCCATGCCCTGAGGGGCGACAATGTGGCCTGGGGCATGGCGGCCCCAGGTGGCAGGCCCTCTCTGGAGGCAGGGCCCAGGGCCCTCCTGAGGGCGACTCACAGCTCAGACAGGACGTCCGGCTCCAGATGACCATGGGCGGGGTGGGCGGGCGCAGCTTGCCCAGCGCCATGATATGCTCGAGGAGATGTCGGTCTGAGTGCCGCTGTCCACCAGCTGCAGCTCATGGCAGGAGCTGTTCCCCCGGAGGCGGGGGCTGCGTCTCAGCACCTGGATCACCAGGGGCTCCTTGGAGGAGCGCAGGGCCTCCAGGGTTTGCTCCTGAGACAGCTTGGAGAGCTCCTTCCCGTTCACCTGCAGCAGAGACACGCTCCTGTGAGGCCCATGGCCGTGCCCGCCTGCTCCACCGGGAACCTGCTGTCCACCCGGCTGGCCCTTGGCGCCCTCACTCCCGACAATCACACACCTCAGCGCCTTCCCCACGCTATGCTGGCAGGGAGCGCCCCTGACTGCGGGGAGTCACCCATGCTGCTCCGAACTCAGGCAGCACAGAAACCAGAGCTCCCAGCCTCACAGGGCACACAGGGTTCTACTGGCCGTGAGTAGACGCCGAGCGGGCATGTGGCAGCAGCAAGGCACCGGACGCCCTGCGCTCCTCCTGGCAGCCCTCAGCCAGAAAACGGGCTCAGGCGGCAGGGTGGGGAAGGGTGAAGAAGATCTGAGCACAGGACGTCCACCCTCAAGGCAGCGAGGGCCTTACTGAAGAGAAAGGCCACGCATACATATCGCCATTGTGAGGTGACCAGAGCACCAGGAAGTGGCCTTATCAAACCCCACCACTTCTTGGTCTCCCCTGGCTCCGGACACCCCCACCCCAGCAAGCCACTTCACAGATTAGGAAACTAAGGCTCAGCAAGAAGGGAATAAGCAAACGTCATGCACACTGCCAGGCCACACTGGGGCAGGGGGAGGGGGGTGGCCAGACAGGGCAGCCTGGGGGAGGAGAGGGCTCCATGTGGAGGGTGTTGGCCTCAAAGATGCCAGGCAGAAGGAGGAGAGCTGATTTCGGGTCCAGCTGGGTGGAGCAAGGAGTCCCAGGGGTGACTGGGGTCAAAGGCCAGCCCAGCAAGTCACCAATCCGCACTGGGCCCTGGGCCAGTCACCTCGATGCAGGCAAAGTTGCCCCCAGCACTGCAGCCTGACGCCGTCCTGGGCAGAGAGGCAAGAGGGCTGAGGAAGAAGAGAGACGCACAAGGGCTGAGGGCCAGCGTGCTGCCAGTGAGAGGGAAGCCGGAAGCAGTTCCGGGAGAGGGGACGGCTGGGTCTCCCCATTCCCTTGGAAGCTTGTGGAAAGGCCAGGGGTACACTCAGGAACCAACACCCCAAATGGCTACATTCAGCGCCTAAGTGCCAAAACTGACTAGGGAGAACGCTCGGGGACAGAGGGTGCAGGACAGGGTCAAGAGGGCTCCCTGAGGGGTGTACCTGGCCTGTATCAGGGCAAGAGTTAGGAGCAGGAAGAGGCGAGGCCAGATGCAGACAGTGCCAAGGTGGCCAGCCTGGAGAGCACAGAGGCCCTAGAGGGTGGGGCCAAAGGGCCCAACTTGGGCAAAGTCACGCCGCCACTATTGGCCTGAGGTTTTTACAGTGACGCCCCCCCCCCCCAGTTCCCACGGGTTCATTGTGGAACATTCAAAATACACAGACAAGTGTGAGGAAGCAAGACTCACCCGCAGGGCCTCCCCGGTGGCGTAGCGGTTGAGCGCTGGGTTGCAAAGCTGCCCGCAGCCTCTGCGGCGCCGGTTCGATCCCCGGCTGCTCCCCGGCCACTGGAGGAGGGTCCCGCATGGCGCGCAGACCTCTCCTGCCACCCGCTGCTCCCCTCAGCAGTGTCCTTCGGCCCTTCTGCCTGCTCTGCTCCCCGCTCTGGCTCTGGTGAATTCTCTCACCCTCCCGCGCTTCTGACTGTACCCAGTGCATGTATAAATAAATAAATAAATAAATAAATAAATCTTTTTTTTTTAAAAAAAAAAAAAAGGACTCACCCGCAACCCCAGGGGCATGTGGGGGTGCCGTGGGCGCGTCCACTTGTTTCCTTCCTGGTCTTTTCTCCCTGCCGACTGATGCCTCCTGGCCCCAGGCCGGAGCACCCCTGCAGGCCATCCTCATGCGGCCATGGTAGGTCCCTGCTGTCAACTACTGCAGTGGTTTTCAACTGTTTTATGATAAGAAGGTAGCAAGACCCATTTTTTGTGTGTTCTGTGTTTCCACGCCTTTCTTTGCGCGCTCTACGGTTAGAGAACACTTCCACAGCTGCCACCACTGGCGCAAAGAACGGGCAGGACACCGGTCGTTGGCCAAGAAGTTGCAAGAAGATCCCCAACTACGTAAAGTTACCAGATCAGCACAGGGTGGGGCACAGCGCCCACCGAGGCCCAGGTGCTGCTGGCCAGAGCGCACACGCCCGGGGAATGGCTGCAGGCAGATGGAAGAAGGTGCGGGAAGGGAGGGCCAGTCTGGGAAAGACTGGAAACGAAGGGAGAACAGCCCCGGCCGGGAAGCCCTTAGCAGGTCTGCGGCCTTGGGTGTTACCAGGAAATTTAGCAGCAGCATTAAACACAGTGCTACCAACATTTCCATGGTACGAGCTCACAAAGAAATGAATTATGTCAAAAACAAAGGCGAGAAACACTCAGAACTCACGGCTTCCAGCTCACATGACTGCGGGAGCCCTTCGCCGCGAGGCTTTCCTCCCGGAGGTCGGCCACCTGCACAGGTGCATTCACACCTCGGGCATCTGCAAACCTCCAAAGCTGGGCGTCCCTTCCCCAGAACATTTACCAGCTCCCTAACACGCTTAACTCACAGGCTTAACCTCTCCTCAGCATCTCCAAGGGGGAGGCAGCTCCCCCCAAACTCCCAGAGCAGGGTGATGGGGCGGTAGGACACTCAGGTGACCCTGAGACCTGAACGGCTTCTCCTGGGAACAGTCGTCCAGCAGCCGTGCTGCTATGGAAACCAGGCCATGGTGGGCATGGAGTAGGGGAGCAGGCTGGGATGTCAAGAGGGGAATGGGCGCACCCACATCCTCAGCACCTCAGATGGGGCCATCAGAGTGAATCCTGTGACAGCAGTGCAGAGGCAGATGTTGGGGTGCCAGGTGAGCACCCCAGACCCCTTCAGTCTCCTCTCCATCAGCCTTGTGCCCCTAAGAGCCAGTGAGGGGGGTGAGTAGAGACACACTGAGATGAGAAGGAAATGAGCCGCTTCCAGGGGAGCAGGGACTACAAGCAGATGGGAAATAAGGGGCCAAGCCAGAGCAGCTCCTAGTCAGGGTCCCACATTCCGCAGAAGGGGCGCTTGCTTCCTGACTTGCCCCGCCCCCACCGTATGGCATAAGAGAAACACACGGGCTGTCCCACAGTCAGCCCCGGAACGTCCCTGATCCTCACGTTGCCTATCAAGGCCTCCCTCCATCCAGCTCCCAACCTGTCTGAACCCCAAGTGTCCCTCAAGCCACCTGCAAAGATCTACATATGCGGGGACGCCCCAGGAGGTCACCCCCTCCACCCCACAGCCCCACATGTGGTGGAGACAGGGCCGCCTTTTGATGTTGAGATACAGAACTCAAGATTAAAAAAAAAATGGGCGAGCAGGGATGGGGAGATACAGCCCTAGCCCTAGCTGTGTGGAAATAACGGCACGAGAGACCGGCCGAGAACAGCGGGAAAGGCAAGGCCACACGGATGGTCTGCACGCGCGTGGAGCTGAGCGAGGATGACGGTGACCACATGAAGAATCCCATGAGCCACCACAGAAACACAAGGCCAGAAGGGGAAGGCGGGCCTCACTGGGAAAGCGGCGTTGCCCTCCAGGACCCTGGGCACGAAGCATCAAGTTTGCCCCGCAGCTCAGGGGTGGGCAACTCAGGGGTGGGCTCGCAAGTGCAGGCCTTGGCGGGCCCAGGGCTGGGAATGCCTTTAACACCATTTTTAAAAAAGGCTCAGGTCTGGGCTTCCCTGGGGGCTCAGGGGGTTAAGACGCAGCACTATGAAGCAATTCGCAGCCTCTGCAGCCTCTGCAGCCTGAGTTCGATCCCCAGCCAGGGAGCTACCCACATGGCGCGCAGACCTCTCCTGCCTCGCCCGATACCCCCTCAGCAGTGTACTTCAGTCTGCCTGTTCTGTTCCCCGCTCTGTCTCTGGTGGATCCTCTCACTCCCCGCACCTCTGCCCTGTATCCCAGCTCTTATATGCAGAAATAAATAATTTTTTAAAAAAGGCTCAGGTCCACAGCCCAAGGCTCTATGCACAGGGGCTGCCAGGGAGGGGGTGCCTGGGGGTGGGAGGCGTGGGGGCACGCAGCTAGGCAGCTCTTGCTGTTGTCACCCATCAACAGATGGGCAAGCCCTAGGGACTGGCTTGATGTTGGCGGGGACAAAGGTTTGGGCCTGGGTGGCTAGACACCTAAACCAGGGTGATGTCACCAAGTGGTAGCTCTGGTTTATGATGCCAACGAGGTCAGACTGCTTTGACAGCTTTCCACAGTAAAAGTCCCGAGTGCCTCACATGCCCTCTGAAATAGGCAGCAAGCCCATCCCCATCTCACAGGTAAGGAAACTGGGGCACATAGTGGTGTTGAGTGGGCAAACCCAGGGCCCTGGTCAGAGCTCAGTCTTCACTGGAGATTGCACACAGCCCGTAGACACAGTAAGGGCTGGGGCTGCGAGGCTTGGGGGGGGGGTTACCAATGGCGGTGGGCAGAGGGTACTTGAGAGTAGGGTAGGTGGGAGCCTGGTAGGGATTTGGCTGGGATGCGGGGGGCGGGGGGGCATGGGGGGGATGTGCAGGGAGGTAGGGACAGTCCCATCACCTTCACTGACTCCTCCACTCCCTCCAGAGGGTCTTCTCCCCTGCCTCCCACCGCCAGCGTTAGGCTAGGCGAGTCCAGCTGTCTTTCTCCTCCAGGCCTCCCTTGGGGGGAAAGAACTACCCACTTGCCTGTCCCTCCTGCTCTGCGCTTTCCTACCCCTCACAACTCCTCCCTTCTTTCTGGGAGGATCTGCTCATCATTTCCTGCCCTCAGCCTCCTGTCACCTACACCCACTCAAGATCAGGGACCCGGCGCCATCCATGCCTCAGAGTTTTGCTCACTTCCAGGGCCCTGCCCAAGCCATGGCTAAGGGCGCATAGGAGCCACAGCTAGCATCCAGGGAAGACGTTGCCCCAGACAGCACAGGGCCTCCTGCGCCCTGCAGGTCCAGCACAGGTCAAAGGCTCAGGAGGGACCAGGCCAGGCCCAGGAACACAGATGAGGAGGCCGAGGGTGGTTCTCTGTATATCCCTCAGTTTGGC